AAATCTTGTCGAAAGTATTTGGATAAATTGTCTAATCATGAAAATTACTGACAATAAGTTTACTAGACAACAGTATGGATGTTAGATGCTTAAAACGAACTCACATTTTGGATCTTGCATATAGATTTTAAGTAGTTTTAAGAAGTTTGAGCAAATAAATTTACTATTTCTACTTTTCCTCTTAGGTCATATCAGATGGGATTCTAGGTTAAGTCTATACCATACATTAGTCGTTTAAAACTTATAAATCTACCTAYACTTACTAGTCGTAGAGAACAGTTTGCTTTTCATTTCTCATTTCTGAAACTAAATTTAATATCTCGGTTCGTTTTTCGATGTAGTTTAGACTCTTACTGCTAAAATCCTTTTTACTTTAAATTTTTTAACTAAACGAACCATTCTGTCGCATATATCATGCTTTTTATACTCATTTATATATCGTTTTATCTCAATAAATAAAATCGTAACAATTGATTATAACGTGTTTTAAATCTTAGCTGTTTTAGATCTCGACACTTAAAAACTTCTTCTGCCTTATATATAGAGAGAGAGAGGGTAATACTTAGGTTATTATTATTATAAAATATCACACATTCAGAAGATGAAAAGTTGTTGTTCAATTTATCACAATAATACAAGTATTTTTCGGTAAATATTACTATCTGTTTACATTGACAATTATTTCACTTATTAGTTTCATGTGCTTTAAAAGCATGATTTTTTAGTTTTATTGAACTACTACCATTAGACACCCAAAAAGTCATTGGACTTTAGCAATAAACCAGACTATCTTTAAGCTTTAGAAATAAATATTGAACCAATAAAAAAAAGTACTCGAAAATTTGATTCATCGAATTCGTTCCTGCAAATGAAGTCGTGGAGGCCATTTGAAAGATGTTATATGCAAACCTTATTTGTATCGATTGTACTTCACATTACATAAAAAACATTCGAATTTCCTTAACAATGAGTTTATGTTTGTTTTATTAAAGAAATGATATCACTCTTTTTAGAAAACCATGTATATTTACTCTTCTCTTTTTAATTTAATATGCTTTGAAAGCATATTCCTTGGTTGTTTAAACTATAAAAACTGTTTAATGTTTTGCCAAAGTGCCACTCAAATATATCTACTGCCATTTCAGTGCTATTGTACTCATAAAGAAAAATTCGTGAACTAAAATTTCTTTCAGCTTTGCATTTTGCTGAACTTATCGCATACCTTCATTAACAGTTTTTTAAGTGTACTTTACATTCAAAAAGAATTAGTCAGTTAAAAATTGAAAGCACTGTTTTTCAAGTAACAATGTTGGAATATTTTTTATTGCTATACCATTCTATATCTGGCTAGTACTAGTGGCGACCTAGGACTGAAAAAAATATATAAAAGACAATTCATAAAAGCATATTTTCSGGTATGTATGTGCTTATTTTGCTAAGTAAATGAACACAAAATATCGCAAGTGTATTATAAGTAGAAGTTAAAATCACTGTTTTTGAAATGACAATGTTCGAATATTTTTTATTGCAATACCAACCTATATCTGGCGACAGGGTACAAGTGGCCCTAGGGCTGAAAAAAAATATCTAAAAAACTGAATACAACCATATTTTCGGGTATATATTGCTATATATTCTTATTTTTATTCTCGACTTACAAAGCTAAAAAAAAGTTTTTGTATACAATATCAACTTCGTTGTGACTTATTCTAAATTACATACATACATAAGTGGCATTAGAAGTTCATTACTTGCTAATAACAATTCGAATATCGTTGCTAACAGAGACCACATATCTAATAGCCCAACTCGATTGAAATATCATTTCGAACATGGGAATTACACATTTTTTATGTAACCGAAGTGAATATTATCGAAGTAAACATTTAGAAAAAGTAAATAACATTAAGGTATATTTGCACACATATACCGAATTCCGTTGCCATATGCTTTACTTTCATGTATATATATATACATATATGGTATATGTCTGTATGTATTAAGGTTTTCGAAATTTTTCATTATCAAGAGTTGCCTTTTAATATTCTAAAAATACGAACATTGAACGAAACGCGCTCATTTCCTTTGATGATGCTCGCGGAGAACTGCACATGCTTATATTCTGTACACTATATACTTTTGTATTATAATGTATAAACAATCAACCAAATGTACGAAGTGGTTCATGGACAAAGTATCTGCTACGTAATTATACATAAGCATTATTACGTGTATTCCTAAGTAGTTGTTTCATTCGTTTCTGCAAAATTTTGGCATTCAATTTATAATAGTCGCGCATTTTTATTTGAAGACAAAATTCTTACGTGAAAATTAACTGAATAAAAGTGTAAAATATTTTTTCTTCAGTTTTGTGTTCAGAAGAAGTACGTTGGATTTTGTTTACAAAAAATGAGTACTACTTCACATCCTCAGCAAATCTCAAGCCGTAGGACTTGCTCTGCATTTAATAAAGCATTTAAGCTTTTAAGTTTTAATTCAAAATCAGCAAATAAAAAATTACAAAAAAAAACATCGTTTAATTCGTACAATGAAATTTCAAAAATGTTGAACAAAAATGGTAGCATATCAAGCAATCATTTCCGTGGAATTCGAAGGCAATTGATTGACCAATTTGCCACATCTGCATGTCATTTGATGACTGTGAGTTTGAATTCAAATATTGTATGTATGTGTTCATAGAAAAAAAACCTTTTTAACCAAGATTAATATATTTTGAAATAAAGAATATTATATTATACATCTTTGCAAAAAAAAAAAAAAAAAATAGAAAGCAGTAACGAAGAATTAAGTTTAGGGTTCAACCGAATATCTTATCMTCTCGATATTTGTGATGATCAAAGGCGGAAAAATATTGCTAGGTGTTGTAAAATCTTTATATAATATATAAAAATATGACAATCATGTTTGGTTTGTTATAAAATATGTCACGGTTCAGTGAGTTTCGTTTACAGATTTTATTTAAAGTCTGAGATGTTTATATTAAAATCAACTTTACTAAAACAAGTCAGTATTTTTCGAATTCAAATTCGCGTTTCAAGTCCAAAAATTAACAAATTAATGTATGGAATCTTTCTATGTAACATGCTATGAATTTTAAACTTATATTATTATCGTATAATATACCAATTTATATTATATCCACTAACACATCACTAAATAGTTTTTACACATTTATTTAATCATAAAAAGTGCACAAATACCTTTATATCATATTAAAGTTGTCTTAAGTTTTACTTATTTACACAATAACGCAACAGTAGCATGCAAACAAATAATAAATTTTAACATTATCAATATTTTGTAAATGAACAAGAGTAAAGAAAAGGAAACAGGGTCTCACCCGCTCATAGCTATTTTATTCAGGAATTATACTAAGTTTTCCCAAAAACAGACCAATATCAGTAATTTTTACTTCGAGATGAATTAAAATTAACACAACTATACACTTAATCCTCCTTTTACATTTATTTTATTCCAAATTAAATACATTTATTTAGACCCCGGTACCTATAGTTGACTTTCGGCCATTGTATGAGATATATAATTGAAATTCAGGGATAGTACTTCTCTGACAATGGTATGTCTGTATGTCAAAAATCGAATCAATACTTCCCTTAGTTCCCATGTATGTATATATTATAAAATAAAGATAATCGAACTTCCGGATGACTTTGCACAGCATATATCGGCAAATGTGTGAGATATCTCAATGAGAATGAGCCAGCATATTTTACTAATAACAGTGTATCTTTACGCTAAATATAAATAAAAATTTTGCGAAAACTTGTGTTACCCCCATATAACTAATATCAGGACTTTCGAACATCCGACTGATTTTCCTCTACAAGATGGTTTCCAAAGTAAACAGGACTAAAAAAAAGCAGAACAAATGATTTTCTCGGTAAAATCAATTGACTTTATTCAAAATAATCTCCCTCTTCTTCAATACAGCTTTTTGCACGGTCCAAAGCATTTCAAACGAGTGTTTTAACTCGTTGGCCGGTATGGCTGCCAGTATCCCGATGCAAGCCTTTTGAATGGCCTCTACGTCTGTACAACGCTTTCCTTTCATGCCAAATGCATTTTTCCGAAAAGTAAGAAATCAAACGGTGCCATATCAGGTGAAAACGGGGAGTGATTAATGGTTAAAATGTGAATTTTGGTCAAATAATCGTCCTTCGAATGTTAGACTCTCAGCAATTTTTGGTTGTCAGTCAAATTGCGCGGAACAAACTGTGCATACACATTTCGTAAGCCCAAATGTTCCGTCAAAATGCGATAAATCGTTGTTTTGGAGATGCTCAATTCTATTTGCATGAATTTCAATGATGATTTCAGCTGATTTTTTTTATCATTTATGTCCTCAGGACCACTTTGAAAACGTTGAAATCACTCGTGCACTCTGCTACGGGATTCACTTCCAATCGATGAAATGTCATGAAATTCTAGACAATCGATAAAGATAGCAGATTCTAACGCACCAATCGACATATCGATGGCGTCACCGGGGGCGCCAGATTCAAAAAGTCCTGTTTACTTTGGAACACATCTTGTATGATCGRATTCCATTAAATACTTCCAACACCTCTCAAGATGTTTGCTTACATTTGGTTCCTCACAAATAAAATATAGCAAGTCACCTAAACAATTTTCTCATCTCAATTTTATCGGATATTTCTTTACAATCATTCGAGAGTCGATTCTATGTTACGTTAGGAACAATGTGGAATGAATGTTAATAACACAGTTTGTTAACTATTTAATTTTATGTAAATAATTCCTATTAACAAAATACAGCTAACGTTTTTGGTCAGTAGTACGGTCGAAAATCTTACTAAAGGAAAGAGGTTTAAAAAAGAGAACGACGAGAGTGTATATATTTCGTATGAAATTACATGATTCTACTTCAGAGTGAAAAAAAGCTGCTGCTACCCAATGTGAGGGCATTTAAGTTTTTTTATCCATTATTCCTTTAAGTATTGAATATATCCGAAAAATCCTATATACTATATAATATATATATAAAACAGTATTCTAATGATCAGTCAAGTTGAACACTGTATGTTTCCGGCCTCTTTTTACGAATAGCTTTGCGCATACGACGCATAATACTTGAAATAGTATTAGCCAGCGGAAGGAATTTGGAGTGCACCACACCGTGATGATCGAAGAAAACTGTCTTAATCTTGATTTTTGTCGTGGKTTTTTCGATTTCGGTTCACCTTTTCCACGATATTCGGACGTTTTGGTACCAGAAATTTGATTCTACACATAAAATTATTAGAACTTCTTTATTGAATAAATTCCCACATCGTAAAAATGTCCAAAACTGTATGTACTTCAGAAAGACAAACAAATTAAACAAGAATGATTATTTGGATGTGACATTTAGCACAGGCACAGTCATACTAACCCAGAAAAAGGAATCGATGAATGGCTTTTCGCGTAAAAATTATACTAATAAAACTCACTCTTTTTGTCCATAGTAGTAGGAGTATTGTTCTATTTAAACTGGTTCACTGTTTTTTGTACGACAAGAAATTTGGTGGTAGATGGATGATATGGTATAATGTTTTATATTTCCTCTGACCTACGATATATACATAAATAATTTCAAACATTTTTGTAGAATTCTATAACAAAAAAAGTAACAAGAAGTTTTTACATCTTAGATGCAAACATCAATATCATTTGTTCATTCCTCCCTCCGCAATAATAATTAAATGTCTTCTATGAATGCATATTGTACTAAAAACTGTTCTACACACTAAAAATATATATCAGTGTAAATAAAGATATTAAATATTGTGTCTAATATTCTTTTCAGATTGATGATCTTTATCAAGAAATTCTTTTTGAAATATGCAATAATTGTGGAAGTGAGAGTTATGACATATGTCCCGATATTCTTTTGGAATTCGCGCAAGAAGTATTTAAAATATCAAACACAAAACATGAAGATATTTTGAGGATGGCAAGACAAAAAGAGCCGCCTAAACTGCGTCTTAATGTGGAAATTATTAAAGCAGAAAATTTATTGCCAAAAGACGCAAACGGATTTTCAGACCCTTTTGCAACTATTTACTTGGAGTCGAATGCTTCGCACCGTTATAATACATCTGTAAAGCATACTACACTAAATCCAATTTGGGAAGAACATTTTTCATTGTAAGTTGACTTCGACTATATAAATTCTTAACCGTTCTAAATTTATACATGTGTGAAATTTACAGACCTATCATTGATAACCCTAAAGAGGAGGTACTGGTGGTAGAAATATGGTAAAAATTATATGAAATATATGTTGAATGATGACTAGAAATATAGTAAAAATTTACGCAATTGTACAACTATACTTAAAGGGATTTTGATGCTGCAGAAACTATCAAAGAAAAGGTTAATAAATTACTCGATGTAAAAGGAGTTAAGGGACTAAGTAAGCTGATGAAAGAAATTGCTCAAACCGCATCTACGGGAAAACATGATAATGAATTAATTGGCCGCGCAGCAATTACTCTGAAGGTGTGATTTTGAAACCAATAATGATAGAAATGTAAATTACGGTAATTTCGTTCCCTTACCTTTGTTAAAATTATAAAAAAAAGCACTGTGTCATGAATGAAAAATGCGGGGGATTGGTTTACAGTGACTATAAAGGTTTTATATTTTTACAATTGGGGCGTTCACAACCTGTCTTAAAGCATCGTAAAGTCGTAAAAATTTTTACACTTGTTTAAATAAAAATTAGGGTTTTCACATGTCTCTTAAAGTTATAAGTTATAACGATTCGAAAACATAGTATTGAGATCTGTAAATGTGTAAACTCATTTTTGTATGTAATCCAACAACAAATTTTTTTTTAAACAAGTGTAAAAATTTAAAATTTTACGACTTTACGATTTAAGACAGGTTGTGAATACCCCAAATGTTTTACATTTCTTTGCTTTCATTTTGAGTCTGTCGCGGTTTATCATTTTTGGTGGGTTTGGTTTATCATATTTGGTTGCGATTAACTCAGTAAAAACTGGTCAACAAAATTTTGTAACGAAAAAGCGAGCAGTTTCCTTTATACTTATATCGGTTAAGACTTAAAGTGTCGTAATTTATGGTATCTATCATATTTGATAATATGTGTATGTATAAATGAATGCGTGAAATAAATGAATCTATCTTATTTCAGTCAATTTCTAATTCAGGTTTAACTGTTTGGTACAATTTAGAAAAGCGTTCTAAAACAAAAAGTCGAGGATCGGTTTTACTCAACATGACATTGAGTGCTGAAAAGAATAAACGTGTTGCTCTTCAAGAGCATAAACACTTATTAAACCTATTACTGATTCATGAGTTGGAAAGCTCCCAAGTAGCTGAATACTGGTGGAATGGCAAATTTACTACAAATGCGGAACTTGTTCGTTCGCAACATGCAGTTCAAAGTGGCCTTACAAACTTTGATTGCGCTCTTTGCCAATGGGTGGTGTACTCGAAAATCCATGAAAATCATAAATTAAATTTTATTCTCTTTAACAATATTCTAGATATTGTTATACCCACCCTAAAATTACTTCAATCAGATTGTGAAGACGTAAAAACGTTTTGGGATGGTGTGAAGCGAGTTTTGCCGTCATGCTTTTCAATTGTGCGAAAAATTCGCGCTAGAAATGTTAGTGATAAACATATTGTTAGCACACTATGCGATATTTTAGATATTATTTCGAAAATCAAAGCGTTGGGAGAACCAGTGATAGACATATTTCCTGAAAATATTTATGGTTTTATTAGCCTAAAGAAACAGGATGTAGTGAACATTGATCTAGTTCTAGAAGCAGTTATAAATACTGCTACAAAAGAGTGGTTGGAATATATTATGGAAGGAAGTAAGCCACATACACGTGATGAACACAATGACGAAGAAAACTTACAGTTTCTTATAAAACTCATTCAAATGGTGCGATCTGATTTACAAAGAGGAATGGAGCATTTTGATAAACACTTTTATCAGTAAGTTCAATATCTCCATTTCAAAGAATCTTATTTATTTGTTATTGTAATAATAATAATTATTATTATTGTTTTTTTTTTTTTTGGTTTTGTTTATAGAAAACTAAGAATTAACTATTCGGGCATCCTTTTCAAATATTATGATTTAAATTTGTTCGATGAATGTAAAGAAATAGTTGAGAACGTTTGTGCAAATATTAAAAGAATGGAAATACCGGACGACACTTTGGAGTTTTCCAATTTTTTGGATGAAGAGTCTCTCAACATGGGAACAACACTATTCGAACTATATTTGGTAYTAAAGCGGTTTGTTTCCTTAGGTAAGAAACTATATTAATTTTGTACTTTTAACGTTACAAATTTGCTTACATGCATTTTTATACTCTCGCAACAAGCTGCTACAAAATATTATAATTTTGTTTAGCTAATACCTATAACTAATCGAAATAGTTAGTATAGTTTCAAATATGAGTTTTATGACTTTTTTCTAAAACAWAATAAAAACACCCTCAATAGTAAGGGAAATGTTTTTTTTTATTTATATGAATTGCAACTGTACTGTAAATAATATGTAGTAATGTGAAAAATAACAAGTAAGGAAGAGCTAAGTTAGGATGAACCGAATTTTTCATACTCTTCCAGCTAACCAGTAGGAACCCCGGAAAAATACATTCGGGTGTTGGCAAGACATTATTTTAAAAAAATTTTTCCCATAGGAGCCCGTAGCTACTGCAATTCCCTGGGTCAATTTACAGTTTTGTATCTTAATTTAGGATAAGATTTACGAGCTCGTCCTCACTTTTTGTCATGTATCACTTTGAACTCAAGTTTTCGATCGCACAGACAGACAAACAGACATCCATTCACTCGAAGTTCCACTCGTCTTATCATCTGTATATTGTATAACTAAATACATAGTACGAGTATATACGCGAATACTATACCGTGATCATATTTTTGTTTTGGTAGATTTTGAAACTTTTTAACAAACAATCATATCTTCCAAAATTAATTTTTTTAATTTTAAAACTTAATTTCAATTTCATGAACTGTAATTTATTTCATTGCATGTAATTGGCAAATCGACTAATTTTGCAATAACGGAATTCTTTACGACCATTTGCAGGAACAAACGAATAAAGTATACATACCTACTGTGCCAATTTTTACATTTTTATGTGATGCGGTTAGGACGTTCTGCGGGCACATAAAGAAATAAGCGTTATTTTTTATATATAAAACATAACTCCATTTCTATTACGATTAGCTTAAGGTGATACAAACAGCAAAAAAGCACTTTGTTGTCTAGGCTAAGTTTGGAGTTTTTATATAAAATCCAATTTGAATTTGAAGCTCTTATCTTGATGCTAGTTATTTTACTAGATATATGTTTTCTCCATGTTAGTCTTCTATCTAGGTGAATAGCAAGAAAAGTTGCTTCATTCGCTTCGGGTACTAAATTATTGTTCATTTTTGGTCTAAGCGAAAATGTAACATGCTTACACTTTTGCTCATTCATTCATTTAGCGAGCCATTCTTCGACAGAACTCAAGTGCTCCGCTAATATTTTTGATGCTTTAATGTGACATTTATTACGGCTTACTAAAGCTGTGTCAACCGCAAAAGTTGTATATAATTCCCTCTTCAGATTTCGGCATCTATCTCTTCCCGCACGTGTTGTGGTCGTGTGTACAGCTTCGAAGTAGGCGCTCTGTTTTCTCTACGCTGTGACACGGCATTCCTTATCGTACCAGATTTTCTTTTGCCTTTTCCGAAAGCCAATTTTTTCGTTTGCAGCTGTACGTAAGGAGCCTGAAAGCTACAGTTCCCTTATACCGAGTTGCTGATGAGTGATTTTAGAGAGCAGGAGTGCAAGTCGAACAGAAACTCGTTCGGTTGTCTGTTGTGACTTCTATATGTCGAACTTTCCTTGTATTTTTTGACGTACGTTTTTAGCTGCACAGAGGCGGGTGCGTATTTTTGCTGCAACAAGATAGTGATCCGAGTCGATGTTAGGACCTCGGAGCGTACGCTTATCTAGAACACTGTAAATGTGGATTATTTTGGTGGCTTTTTGATCCGGAGACAGCCAGGTAGCTTAATGAATTTGGGCTCCGACGAAATCGATTAGCCTCAACTCATTTGAGCGTCTTTCTCTTCCGTCGGAGCGTGGGCGCAAATCAGCGATATGTTTAAGAACTTCGCTTTGATACGGATTGCGACTAAACGTTCATTTACCTGAGTGAATAACAGTACTCGGCGACGAAGTCTCTCCCCACGAATCCCACATTTCGGGATTTTCGCTTTCTCACTTTAGGACCGGAAATCGTGAGCTGCTTGATCTCTATGTAAAAGAATCGTTTCTGTCCGCTGCCAAGTGAATGGCAACAACACGTGCATGAATTATTTGCGAGAAAAGTTTATATATTCCATTAGACTACTTCTTCCGGTGTTAGTTGAAGTCATTGGTCTTTAGCAATAAACCAGACTCTCTTCAAACTTTAGATGTCAAACAGAACATACTATTACTATTCATGACATACAACTTGAGTTAGTAAAAAAAGTACTAGAAAATTTGGTGCATAAATCGGCGCGGGATGTCGATCATAGTAAAAAGCGGGGCAGTATCGAATAAAAAAAGCATGAAGCGAATGTTGACATGCGAATTGTGCCCAATTTATTGGGGAATACAAACCACTCGATTGTTGGTGTTCGGCTTGTGTAGAACGAATTGTATAAAACTGTTTGTTGAACCTGATCAGGGGACCATCCTTTATGTTGAGTGGGTTGATGTAGAAGTGTGGTGAGTTGTGTTGTGATGTATGAGTATGGTGTATCGGATGTGGTGTATTGTGCAATATATTCTTAGGATGCACCAGTTTTTCCGGTTAGAGTGATAAATGTTTTTTTATTTTGTTTGTGAAAAGAAATCATACCACCTTTATTATAAAGCTCTATATATTAAATTCAGACCATTTCGTTTAAATTTTTCATGTCACCTCATTATATTCCTCTTAGTCAAACTCTCAGGAATTATGGATAAAATTACGACTATATGTTGTTCATAAAAATTTTTACAAATTACTGACAATTCATTTGAGAAAGTTAAAGAAGTGTCATAGTAAAAGCTTAATTAATTTTAATTCTGAAGGTCAAATAGGAGGATGGAGTCATGTGTAGAAATTCACGAAAGTGAGGAAAGTTCTCTGATCGCTATTCACTTGGGAGTTGACATAAACGATTCTTTTACATATGACTCAAGCAGCTAACGATTTCCGGTCTTTGACCAAGTATCCTCTGGGTAGCCTAAGAACATCTGTTTGAAGGTGAGGTAAAGTGAGAAGGCGAAACATCCCCTGCATAGGGTTGTGCGCTGGGTKTGCGACCCGCCACGTAAAAAAACCTCCAATGAAAAAGCAACAACAGCCTCGGATGAGAGACCCCACTTTTGATGACGACCATGGCAAACGAAATAAGGACTACGAATTGAGGGCATGCATCTGGAATGTCCGGTCCCTTAATTGGAAGGTGCCGCTGCCCAGCTGGTTGATGTCCTCGTGAAAATAAAGGCTGACATCCAAGAAATGCGGTGGACGGGACAAGGACGGAGACGAGTAGGTCCTTCTGGCATTACAGTGGCTTATAACGGAACTCAAGTCGCCGAGTACGATCATTCACTTTGGTGAATGAACGTCTAGCCACAATCCGCATCAAAGCGAGCTTATTCAATATATCGCTGATTTGCGCCCACGCCCCGACGGAAGAGAAGGACGATGTAACCAAAGATGCCTATTATGAGGGCTTGGAACGCACTTATGAGAGATGGCCCCGTCACGATGTCAAAATCTTGCTTGGCGACTTTAACGCCAGTGTGGGCAAAGAAGGTATGTTTGGCACTACGGTCGGTAAATTCATCCTCCACGAGGAAACATACCGCAATGGGTTAAGGCTGATCGACTTCGCCAGGGCCCGAAATATGGTTATCTGTAGTACTAGATTCCAGTAWAAGAGGATACATCAGGCTACCTGGCTGTCTCCGGATCAAAAAACCACCAACCACATCGATCATGTTGTGATAGACGGAAGACACCTCTCCAGTGATTTAGATGTGCGTGCGCTACGAGGTCCTAACATCGACTCACTTGTTGCAGCCAAGATTCGCACCCGCATCTGTGCAGCAAAAAACGTACGCCATCAGTCGGTATAAAGGAACTGTGGGACGGCATTTCAAACTCCTTACGTACAATTGCAACTGAAACCATTGGTTTTCTCAAAGTGCAAAAGAACAGCTGGTACGAGAAGGAGTGCCGTGTCGAAGCGGAGAGAAAACAGAGCGCCTACCTCGCAACGTTCCGATTGACCACAACACGTGCGGGATGGGATAGATACCGAGAGTTGAAAAGGGAAGCGAGGTGCATTTGCATACAGAAAAATAAAGAGACCGAAATGCGTGAGTACGAAGAGCTCGATAAGCTGGCCGACAGGGGTAATGCTCGAAAATTCTAAAAAAAAATGGGGCGGCTTTGAGAAGGTTTCAAGACCGAAGCATACTCCTGTAGAACCCCCAAAGGTCATCTAGTCACCGATGCCCAGAGTATACTTAAATTATGGAAGGAACACTTCTCCAGCCTGCTGAATGGCAATGAACGCACAACGCCAGGAGAAGGCGAACCCGATTCCCCAATCGATGACAATGGAGCAGATGTTCCATTGCCCGACCAGCAAGAAGTTCGAATAGCAATTACCCGCTTGAAGAACAACAAAGTGACAGGGGCGGATGGATTATCGGCCAAGCAATTCAAACTCGGCGGCGAATAACTAATAAGGAGCATGCACCAGCTTCTTTGTAAAATATGGTCGGACGAAAGCTTGCCAACGATTGGAATTTAAGTGTTCTATGTCCAACCCACAAAAAGGAGACCCCACAATCTGCACCAACTACCGTGGGAAAAGCCTCCTCTTCATTGCATATAAGCTTCTGTCGAGCGTATTGTGTGAAAGACTAATGCCCACCGTCAACAAACTGATTGGACCTTATCAGTGTGGCTTCTGACCTGGAAAATCAGCAGCCGACCAGATATTTACCATGCGCCAAATTCATGTCTTACGCAAGGCTTATTTCCATCTATATCGAAAAGTCATTTATAATTCCTTTACATAAGAGGGGATTTAGGTCATCTACTGAAAACTACAGGGGAATAGCAAAGTTGTCTGCAAGACCTAAACTTCATGAAGCAATTATAACAGACGACATAACCTTTCGGATCTCTCCACTATTTTCTTGTTCTCAGCATCTACGATAACTAATTTGCTTGAATTT